TCAACAATTATAACGATTATTTATAGTCACAATAATTAACAACAAATATAAAAATTGTTATTTTAATCTAATTTTTAAAATTTGACCTTTGGTAGTTTGGCAAAAAAAGAAAAAAACAAAAATAACAAAAATTTTGAGCAAAATAGATTAAAATCGTGTATAAAATATGATCAAAAAATTTTGCAAGCACAAAAAAAAAAAACAAAATACATTAATTAATATTCATTGAAGATTTGCTTTAAATTAATTAACATTCCATAGAATCATTAATAATTCATAATTAATCAATTTCAAGAAAGTCAACAAACTTAAATTTTTGTCAATCAATAAAATGCAAATAAAAAAAAGAATGCAATAAGAAAAAATAAAAATTTAGTGAAAGAAAAGGATGAAAACTTTATGTGATGAGAATATTTAACATTAGACTCCGGAATTACACCAATATCTCAATAATGAACAATCCGGTTAGAAGTGCAATACATGATCACTACAAGATACAGTAATATGATTAATTAATTATTGTTTAGCCTTTGGCAATATTGAAATTGAATTTAAAAATATCATCAATTTTATTGTAGTCATAAAATATCGAAAGAAATTACAAAATATTATAGAAGAGAAAATGAAAGGAAGGAGTTAAAATTTAATTTAATTTAATTAATTCCGGCATTAATTCCATTCGAATTATCTCGTTTCTTTAATGAAAAAAAAAAAAAATAGGAATACACAAGAAAAAAAAAACAAAACAAATAACATTCAATCGAAAAATATTCAGACTTTATAAAAGTGCCATTCAATGAAAATATTTCACAAAATGTGGTAAAATTATGGGGAAAAAAGACGGATTTTAAATTTAATTTCTCTTTTTTTTTTTGCTGAATAAATTTAATCTACATCACGAGTGATAAATTGATAAGACGTACGTAATCAATCACGTACAGTCACGTTAACTAATTAATTTCAGTAATTTGTTGCTGTATCAAAAACTAGTATTAATTACCAGCATTTACCACATTCATCAATCATATCTTTCGCACATTATTACTGATTAATCCCATTCGTTACTAAATTATTTCATTAATTGTTGCATATACTAACGATGCGACGGTTTTTATAAATCTTGGGGTGCAACGATTCTTGCTTAGACTCGTAACAGTATGGTGATATACAGTATATGGGGTTAATGTACGGTTCAAATTACTCCTGGGGTACTGTAGAGCTTTTTTTTTCTTTTTTTATGAAAGTGAGGTATCAGTTTAAATACTTGATAATTTATATCGTATTAATACTGTATAATAACGGTAGTGTAAAGCCCATGCTTAATTTATGTTGTGTTAACATTATGTAGTAAATAAATCACGGCCTATTTCTAACATTCCTACAAAACTTTTTATGAATAAAGCGAATCATGATGATTAACGCGAGAAGTTTTAATTAGCATAAATACCGATAAAAGGTATATCGACAATTAATGCGTAACATTAGAGATTGAATAATAGATGAAGTCAAGTATTGTTAATACAGGTGTGCAACTGTAACATTGGTGCTGGAATACTGAATACATTGCATTTTTGCAATGTTCGATTTATATAGTGAAGCGGGAAAAGTTATACAAAAGGCTTTAAACAAGGAGAAAAATGTTCGAACTGCAGTTTACGCAAGTAACTTTAAGGTGTGTTTAGCTTATTAGTTTATTTTACGATCATGTAAATCTTTTTTCTTATTATATTTTTTGAATTTAAAACTAACTATCTTAGAACAAGAAGCAATTATTACGCTTATGCTGTGAGACGTTACGTTTTCGAAACTGCTTAGAAAGAATATTGGAAGGCAAAGAATTTCATGATTTGCTAACGAAATTGCATTTTGATCGTTACTTGCTCTATGTGTTATTGTATGATCACATTTTTGGTCAAGGATTGAACAAAGCTAAGAAAGCATATTCTAATGCTATTTTGAAACGTGCAGCCTATATTGATGAACAAGTAAGTCGATTCATTTTATTTTCCTTTTTCTCTTTATTTCTTGAATATTATCAGATTCTTCACCACAGACGCGACGAGCAACAAGTTTCATCCTGCAGCTTACATGATCAAGTTTTCCTTAATATATAAAGATTATATCAGTGCCGATTAAACACCTAAAAGTAATATGAACGGCTTTGTTGGCCTTCTTAACGTTTGACGGTTACATTTTTGGTCAGTCGTTTCTACAAATGATGTACTTGGTAATGCATATAAAACCTTTCTAACCGTTTGTAGCATCGAATGAACACATAGTAAGAATAGTATTTTATTTCATTCTTACTGTACAATGTCCCTTAATTTTCCTTCCAGAGTTTTCTTTGTTGTGTAAATTTCATATGAAAAATTGATTTTGCTTAATAATGTCTGTAATTTTTCAAGTTGGAAACCATGAAAGATATGATTGAAGAAGCGAAAGGACATGTTGCACAACTTTCAGCAGTCGTGGAAAATCCGAGATATGCAAGAGTGAACACCCTAAAATGGTCTTTTGATGAAGCACTGCAAGGTAATTTTTTTTTACATGGATATTCAGATCTTAATATCGGTTTCAATTTAGCAAACTGTTATAGCTTTGCAAGATGAAGGATGGAGTATTTCGAGTTTGGAACCTCAGGAAGATGATGACTGGTACAAGATTGCTGTTAGTTCGATGTTGAAAAATCAAGTTTACATTGATTGTCATGTTAATGAATTGCTTCTCTTTCCTGCGAATGCTGATTTGCACCAACATTGGATGGTTATAGATGGATATTTGTTATTGCAGGACAAGGTTTTTTATTTTATTTTAAAATTTATCAGAAGTATTATGGTTTGCACGATCTGTTTACTATAATTTTCGGTGTGTTCCATCAGTTTGTTTTTATCAGTGAAGCTGATCTATTCACTTGGAAATATATTAATGCTCTTAAAGATCGCTTAGAAATTAATTTCAGTATATCTAGTTGATAAAACACTCTGAACCAAGCTGCTCAATTTAACTACGAATATTTTAATAATTCTAGAACTTGACTGTGTTTTTCCTCTCTTATTATTAAGTCTTTATCATTTACGCCCCATGGTTAATTACCTCAATTCAATTTTCTGCAAATACTGGTCATTCAAAACCAGTAAATTATACATATTTAGGCGAGCTGTTTATCAAGTCTGGTTTTGAATCCAAAAGCAGGAACATATATTTTTGATATCTGTGCAGCACCTGGCATGAAGACTACACATCTTGCAGCATTGGTCCAAAATGAAGGGTGAGGGTCTTTTGTGCTTTAGTTGTAGGTTTAGTCAAGTAGACTTATATTCATATCGATGAATTGCAGATAAGCGTTCACTTGATAGACGATACTCTGCTTTCAGCAAGATTTGGGCAATCGACAGGGCAAGTGATCGAGTTAAAACGTTATGTACAATGGTCGATAAAGCTGGAGCAATCAATGTTAGCACATGCTGTGGGGATTTTCTTCGTACTGATGTAACAAGTAAGAGGTTTGATAAGGTACGTTTGATTTCTTGATTTCTTATATTGAATTCACTTGAGCAATAAAACTTTTCTTATTTTCATCATATTATGGGATGGTAATCAAGTCATGCTACAATTTGTTACGTTTCATTATATTTTTCACTGCATGTGCACCATATTACTTAGTAATGCAGAAAGACTTCCACTTGCGGATAAGTTATCGGTTGCGATCCTTTATTAATTTTCTCTTAGAGGCTTATGATTCTGGCCAATAAATTTTTATTCGCTACACGACTAACCATTTTCTGATTACTTCACTTCTAATATAAATTCATTGAAAGGTGCGGTATGCTTTATTAGATCCGCCGTGTAGTGGATCAGGAATTGTGAAACGTATGGATCAACTAATTAATGGGGAAGAAAGGATAAATACCAGCCGCTTGCAATCTTTATCAAATTTGCAGGTAGATCGTTATCAGACCTCACTCGTGATTATATCTTTGATTATACCTTTATAAATTTTATCGGGTCTTTATGACTGTAGTTTCGGGACTTTGCTTATTTGGTTTTATCCATTGTGGTGCATAAGATGTTCTCTCATCATGTTACATTTTAATAGATCTTCAAGTTGAAGATGTAATAATTTCATGCAGTAGTCCCAGTCAGGTCTCTAAAATTCATTTGAGTAATCTTCCTCATCTCTGTTATCATCTCATGTGTTCATTTATGAAGATTTGGACATCTGGGCATAATTTTCCAGTTTTAGGCTATGCTTCTGAAACACGCATTGGGACTGCCAAATTTGAAGAAAATCGTTTATTCAACATGCTCAATATATGAGGAAGAAAACGAGCAAGTTATCGAAGAGGTAGCCAATCATTTTGCTCATTTCGGTTCAGCTCCGTAAGTAGAGTTTTTTTCTAAAAGAGGGAACTATAAACACATTTGAATAGGGGAATCTCGTTTCTCTAAAAAGTTTTTAATGTTGTGCATTATGGTAAAAGGAAATTCTCCTTTCAGTAGTTCTTTTTATTTGATCATTTGCTCGTTTTATTTATTTGTGTTATCTGTTAAGAAACAAAAGCTTATCGTCTTATATTAAAAATGAAGAATATAGGATGTAATTATGATGCGTTTTTCAGATCCTTAACGATGAATTTTTGCGGACACAGTTTAAACTGATAAAGGCAATGCCAGAATGGCCACATCGTGGAAGAGCAAACTATTCATTTGGTGATAAATGTCTGCGAGCATTACCGGAAATTGACTTAACTAATGGATTTTTTGTTGCTGTTTTTAAAAGGCGAAAATTGTAACAGTTTATAGAAAATTTTGTGTTGTCCACCGATGGATTTCGTTTCGTATTATTTATATAATAAAGTTTGTTTCAATTTGCTTTCATTTTACTGCAGCATTAACTATGTTTGAAAGAAAGCTTGTGTGCTTTATATATCTCTATGTTTGAAAGAAAGATTGTGTGCTTTATATATCTCATCAATTCTTTCACATTTACATTTGCTATGAACTCAATAATTGAGATGCTTCACCGGGAATTTTCCTTTTTTTCCTTTTTTTTTTTAAATTGCAAAATTACGATTGAGGGTTATGCGAAGAGTTCTATAATTTTTGTATTTCTAATTGAAAAATTAGCTCCTGGACTTATCAAGCGTTTATTTTTTCTTTTTCACTTTATAGTTATAAGAAGACGGGGAATTTGTAATTCGGAAGAAATGGTTTGTGTGCCATGCATATTACTACCCATACTTTTGGCGATATACATCAAATTTATCCAACCGGTCGTATTCCGATTATTGCCTGAATCATGGAGGACAACATTTGATGCAGTATTATATCCCACATGTCCAGTCCCTTCAGCTCCTGCTCAAAATGTTGCTGCTGCAGCAGACAAAGCTCCTGATGTTCAAGGCGAAGATGTCCAAAAAGCTGATGATTGCGGTATGTGTACTGATAGTAATAAAAAAGACAATTGATATGATTCCCACCGACAATCTTCCTGCGTATTCTGAATGGTACAATTGTTTTTTTTTTTGTTTTTCTTACCATTTTCTGGTTAATATAATGTGTGAATAATGCTAAAATGCGTATTTGTATTTCATCTTTTGATTTCTTTTCTAAGTCTTTCAAGTGAAATTTTCTGGTGGGTTAGTGGATAGAATGATTTCTTCCATTGTAAATTTAACAGAAGAGCAATCTACTGATATAATGTTTATTTACTGTAGCATAATGTCCCTCATATTTCCTATCTGTATTTTATCCTAAAATTATAAAATTTTTGATATTAATGTTCCCAGCAAATTTTCTACATCGATAGCAGATACGAATCAAGAATATTTTTTATAACAATAAATAACATATCAAATGAGAGTGTATTGATCGAAAACAATGGTATATTTTGGGTATGTTTTGAATAACTTAGTCCTTCACATACTTCTCGCATACTGTTTCGCGTCTTCCACATACTCTTCCAATTTTATTTTATTTTTTAATTTTTATTTTATTTATTTATTTTTTTCCATTATTGCTCTTATGTAACTTATTCTAATTCTAATTTAAGTTTTAGAAACTATCTTTAGGGAAGCTTATGCATTCGTTGTCACGAACTTCGAATATCGCGAAACTCTAAATGAAATAAAATGATTAAATAAACCAATGTACAAATCAATCACACAAATTGTAACAATGTTATGAATCATTCAACCAATTTTACATTCCTCAAATTCATTGTCTCATGCATTTTTCTTTGTTCACATCCTTTCCCCTTTTTTTATGAAACAAACCACACTCATAATCAAAATTTCTTTGTCTATGAGCCGAGATTAAAGAAAACCCTGAACTTGTAGTTTGGGTTTTTTCTAACGGGATAAACTTGAAGAAGTGGTCGACTCTAACTTAGGTTGTTTCCAATTGCTATTTTCTTCTTTTAATGGGAATTGAGTTGAAATTTCTGATACATCACCTTGGTTTATAAATATTACTCTTAGCTTACTTGTTAAATAGTTGACTACTGTAGCTACCATAGGTAATGATATCTGCTTCAATAGTTTTTATTCCAATTCGTACTTTGGCTGTAATGGATTGTTGAGGTCTCCTGTTACCGAATGTTGCAGACTTCACTTGCTCGTGATCAATATCTTCTTGGTTTAATCTCTTTGCTAGTTTCTTTGATATACAAGTTACTTGAGCACCACTATTGAATAAAACTACGACTTTATTTGAAGCCTCTTGCATATCCAAATTAATTACCTCAACCTCTTTGCAAAAAAGCAAAGTTTCCCTGTTATTTCGTCTCGAATGTTCTATTACTGGTTTGATTACCATTGTCGAACTTGTCGTCTTTGGTTAGTTCG